TCTCTCTCTCTCTCTCTCTCTCTCTCTCTCCCCTGAATGCACCTGCACTCAACCCTATCAGCTATGGCATCTTCTTCCTCCCTCCATAGTCCTAGCTATGGCACTACGCGCCAGCTACTCCGCCAGTATGCCCCACCAATTGCCTCGCCCAGGGTACTGTCACTGCTTAAGTACTCGCTCACTGACAATCTTTGTGGCTCCAGCCCGACAACTGTCTACCCTAGGCCTGCAGGCCACAATTGTGTCAGTTCTGGAAATCACCGGACTTTCCAGGATGCTACTGCTAAAATTAGATTGGAACTTGGATTTTCCTTGTCGGGTACCGGGCTGACCAGACTTCTAACAACCTAAGACACCTAACGATCTAACTGGGCCTAAATCAGCATTTCAGCCGCTGGGCCTACATTTTACCATTTCCAAACTTTGCCAGTATAAGAGGTACATGGAAGCATTTTGACCATGAGAAAACGACTCTAACACGCAAGACAGATGTTTCTCGGACCACAATCTGCACAGCAAGAGCAGACGTGTTGAACAACCAGTTAACATTGAAGAAAAACCTTACCGTTCAAAACAGGTTTAAAATTGGGAGCAAGGGGCACCCGGCCGTGGCTGACGAGTTGGAAGAGCGGAACATTTCTGGCAATGTAAGAGCTAGCTTAGTTTTTAAGGTGAAACGAAAGGACAGCTCCCACGGACTCAAGCCGATCGTTACGGAGCTCACAATCCGGACAAGAAAGAACCCGACCCTGGACTTCGAGCCCGCCCGACCTGCACCTAGAAGCAGAGGCGCAGTTGAGCCCAGCTCTTCCCAGCACCTACTGACAGCTTGATTGCTCTCTAAACTCACCACGAAGTCAGCACTCCCAGCGCCTGGGCACCGAACTGGAGATGTGGGGAAGGTTGAATGAGAGTTTCCGGAGCTTTAAAAGGAACGTCCCTCAAGTTGGACGTTCCCCCAGAGTCCAGGCAAGGTCAGCTCTGTCGCTCGAGCCACTAAAGCCTTACCCGACACTTGATACCGTCCAGGCGACTGAGCGACTACGAGTACTGAGCTGTGATGCAGCTCCTTCCCACCCCTTGTTCCCAGATCGAAGCTTTGCCAAGCACGGCTGAACTTCGCATGTGAGCACTAACCTCACTCTGAAGATGAACGCTCTCCCTTGCAGGCACACTTTCCCCGAAACTTCTCGCTCGACCGAACACTTACGTCATTCCCCCACAAGTATGTACAGTTCGATACTGAACCGAGGTCACCTGTCTTCAAGCGCAGCTCACACAAGTGCAGTTCCAGATGCATGCCCCTCCCACAATGCCATGCCCTCCAAGACTTTGGTGCCTGCCCGAGCTCGAACGTTTCAGAGACACTCCCTTGTCAACCACCCCTCCGAACTCTCACATGCATGGAGCCTCTCTCACCTAACACTATTGCCCACCCTTCGAGCTCTCTCCATGCGAGCCTCCAATTACTTCCTCTACACTTCCATACCCTTGAGCAGCATGTTCTCCAACATCGCTGCCACACCTGCCGCGTGCTATTGGGTGCCTCTTCCGCAAGCGCTCCTCCCACTCTCCACGTGCACTCCCCCCATCCATCAATGTTGCCCTCCCCCCC